CTGTTACATTCTCTGCGCAGGCGACGCGGTCCAGCTCGAGGCTCGCGCGGGGTGCTCACTCAAAGGGAAAATGCAAACCGCTGGTTCTGAATCTCACGCAGTTCCAACGCGACCGCGAGGTTTTTGACCCCGCGATCTAACATGTCCGTCACCTTTTCTGGCCCCAGGCGTTTCGAATTATGCCCGAGAACAGCATAATCAGTGGATGCTTGGAAACTTCGTGATCTGGATGCTGGGATCGACTGTGAGATCGATAGCTGATCAATCGTGGGATCGATCGTGAGGACGATAGTAAGGCCGACCATGAGACCGATAGTAAAGTCGATTCAGCGAGATCGATACTGTGATCGATTGCGAGATCGCTCGTACGATCCATAGCGAGATCGATTGTAAGATTGCTAGCGAGATCGAGTGCGAGATCGATCGTGAAACCGATGGACAGGTGGGGAATGAAATCGATGATGAGACCGATCAATCAAGAGACCGGCCAAAAACACGGGAGACCGGAACCCCGAGAAACAAGCCGCCCATTCACATCGCCCTGGAACCAACTACCCGGAATCCGAGAACCCGGAACCGGGAACCCGGGAACCCGGCCGCCTACCGAGATCGCCCCGGAACTTTTGCGACATCTTGCACCATCCGCTAGGAGCTCTTTAGTGCAAGCACTGATTGGGGAATCAAATGCCCGCGGCCTGCGGAAGGCTGCGCACATTGGACCTACAATGCAGCGGAACGTTGCTTTGCCTGGATGATCTTCTACGCTTTCGCTCGCATCGCCGCGCGGCTAAAAAACCCAATGGGTTCCCACTTTCATCGTATAGATTTTTCAATCCATAGCTAAAGCAAAACTGGAATGACTCCCATGCTTTTTGCCATGCCGGCAACCTGGACTGGCGAGTAGGCCTCAGAAGCGCGCAACTGCACACTTTGCTGGCGATCGCCGCAAAACCTCACTGCCCTTCTGATTCCATTGGCCCTTTTCATGACGTCCAAGTCGGCACTGAATAACCACTCCGCACCTTCGGTGCCTAACCCCATCACGCTTAGCCTGGTGCGTGCTTCATCGTGTTCATGCTATCCCGTTATTCGCTGCGTGCCCAGATTTACGCCTTTTCGTACTATAGTCGACCAGCTTCTTACTGGCATCTTCCTCAAAGCCCTCGTTCCGCATTTCCTCATCCTCATGCTCTTCCACTCTGATTTCTCTGGCCCTCTCATCGTCACCTGGTTCCTCCGCCTTCCTCTTCGTCGCCGCTCACGCTAAAGAAATAACGTCGGCTGGTCGCGCCGTCGACGCCTCCAGATGTAGCGCGGAAACCAATCCATCCTGTCCACGGGCCTCGTAGCTCCCCACCACCTCTGTCTCCACCATCGTTGCCGACGTCCTCCATCTCGCCTGCGTCTTGGTAGATTACGCGCGTTCGCCCCTCATTGCTCGGCCTTCTGGAGGGCCTCGCTCCTGTCTCTGGGCGCGAAATTCCGGTTTATGGGTTCGCAGTGCTGTCGAATGGCTGACCCGCCTTAAAATGCGAAATTATCAGTCAACGCGTCTTGCCCGATGTCGTCTTGCCTGGCGCTGTCGGGCCCCGTCCTCGCGCGGGCCGCCGCGAACCTCTCCTGAATGTTCGGCTCGCCTCGTCCTTCAAAACCGCTCGATAACTATTCCGCTGCATTCTGGGCGACGAGGCTGACGCGCAACATCTGCCCCCGCTATGGCTTCTGAACCATGGCGCCCAGGCGTCGGCCCCGTCGCCGTGCACTCCGACTTCTGCGCGGCCATCCCTCGGGCCACTGTCGGCCTGGCGTCGACGGTCGAGCCTCGGTTGGGCGCCGCCGCGGGCGATATCGCCCACTCTCCAACGCCCGCCCCGTGCGCGCTGGGGCACGGTTGACAGGGCACCCCCTCATGTTGGTCACTTCTTCTAGGTGCCATCTCTCCCCCTCGCTGCCTCTGCGCATGAACTCGCAGAGGCGGATGACCCCGCCCTGCGCGCCGACGATGAACTCCCGGCCTGCTTCGCGCGCCCCCGACAACGCGCCGCCCCCCCACCTTGCGCCGAGGTCGCTGCATCCACGATTGGGGGGGGCCTTCAGATGCACGGCGCGCCCCCGAACCCAGGCAATGCCGCGTTGAATTCGCGCCCGTCGGCACCTCCCGCGGGCCGTTTATCCGTCGGCGGCAACGGCGAACTTCTTCGCGAGGGAAGATCCGCAAGGCAACTGGCCAAGGTGCAAGCGCATGATCTTCCCGCGTGCAACTCGGCCCTTGTCGGCCACGGCGCTCAGCGCCGCCCTGGCATGACCCGCCGCGGATCTCATCGCGTTTCCGACTTCGCTGTTTCCATGCGAATCACCGACGAGGCGATCTTCCACTTCATGTCTGGGTTGCGCGATGCTCCGCAGGCCTCCTCGGGCGCCGCGATGGACGACTCGCCCCCGTTCGACTCGCAGCTCCTGCCGGGGCTCGGATGGCAAACTGGAAGTGGCAGTTCTCCTCGTTGATCCTCGCCTCGCGCCCCGTTGCCTCGCGCTCAAGGGCAACTGCGAGATCGCCCACCCTTGTCCCGATTCGACGCGAATTCTTATTTCCATCGCTTCGCGCGCGGACCCGAATTCCCCTGCACTGCCGGCTACCTGGATGGGCACGCTCACTTTAGATCCTAATTTCCCCACAATAGCTCGTTGCTCATGGCCCCTGATCAACGACTGACTGGCCGCGCCGCGGCGCTCGCCGCTCCCAGTGGCCCACGCGGTTTAGCGGAGAAGGTGGGCCTCCGCGCTCGGTGGCCCAACCGCGCTGTAGACTCCTGAGTCCACGGTATCTATTGTCTCCATGCCGCGCTCCTGGCCCCTTGCTGGCACCTCGTCGACGTCATTGCCGGGCAGTTCGGCGAATTTTCGCATGCAACTTTTCTCCTTCATGATGCGCTCTGTGATTCGGTTGCTCCAGTTGGTGCCATGGTCGCAATTATAACGCTGCGCTCATGCGGAGCGCGCCTCCTCTTGACCCCTAAATTCGCCCCCCTGTTTCTCCTCCTTGTTTCCTAGCGCTGCATCCTCCACTCCTGCAAGGGAGCGACACGCATCCCCCCTCGCCCCCCCCTTTCCATCCTGGGGCTCGGTCGCCGCGGCAACTCCCAGGAGCGCCCCCCCCCCCCCCCTCTCGCAACATCTTTTGACGCGACCCCCCGCGGCGACCCCCGGCGCCCCGGCGCCCTCGCTGCATGCCGCCACCTGCGCTCCTAGGTAAGATTTGGCGCCTCTGTATTCCCCCTTTTTTCAACTCCCTTTCTTTTGGCGGTTCTTTTCGCGGCGCTGTCTTTGGCGGCGCGTCCGTATCTTCCACGCTTGCAACGCGCGGGCCCCTTGCGCTTGCCTTTTCCTTCGGTGACTTCGCGTCGCATTTCCCACTCGCGTCTCCCCCATCCAGGCCCACCGATTTCCACCTTCGCCACGTTGCTCGGACCCCTTCGCGTTCACGCCCCGCCCCCCAGCATCTTCGTCGCTGACTTGGCCGATCTCCATGGAGTCGTTGTTCTGCGCGCCGGCGTCAAGTCTTTTCTCCAAAGCTCAATCCTCGCTCTGGATGAGGAGTTTCTGGCAGGTGCCAATCCGATATTTCGCGGTTCTGGCGTCTTGAAACAGCCCTGCTGCCAGTCGTCAAGCTAATCGCCCGCGCGCGCCGTGATGATCCTCAAGGCAGCGACGCTGAATAGCAAGGGTAACGAGCATGCCCTCCCGCGCCTCTCAAGGGACTCTACATGCGCAATCCACTGTTCCAGCTGTCGCCATGCCGTTAACTTTCTTTGGCCTTTTCTAAATTCATGGCCAGGTTCATGTATGTTCATGTTGGGCCACACTGTCTCCTGCAACGGCCGAGTACCATGTATGAGCTTTCCGACGCGCCATTGACCCATTGAGATTTCCCCAGGTTTGTCTTCGCTGCCTGTTTAGTTCCCACCTCCTCTGGCCCTCGTGCTTTTCTAGCTGACTGTATCGCTTCGGCGGCGTTGGTGACAGTCTCCGAGGTGTTCACTTACCGTGGGAATTATGCCCCACGTGCTCCTTCGAATTGTTGAAATGTTCCTCGCAGTACACGTTGCGGCTGATGACCAGACTAGACCAGGCATTGATTTTGCAGCTCTCCTATAGCATCGTGAACGCCTCACTGTCGTCAGCCGTCCTGGTGCCCAGTGTGGCGCTGCGCTCGAAAAACAATCTCATGCCATCGCGATTGGTTTTGCGGGCGGTGATAACATACCTTATATACCCGTTCTCATAATCGGCGTTGCACAATTCAACAAACCACTTCGTGCTCAGGTTGTACCATGCCTCCCGGACATCAGATAACATTACATTGTAACCCAGGTTGTGGCTGCCAGGGTCCACTTGGGTCGCTGCGGCGGCCGCCGAAGCTATCTCTGCACTGGAAACCGCTGGGCGAACAACAGGCTCCACTACGATGACAATCAGGTAGGAAGCGCAAACTCACAAGAAACCCGAAACAATTTTGAGACTGCCGTGAGGAATCCATTGGATTGTCCGAGGAATCCTGAAGCGTCCGGAAGACTTCCTAAGGAAAGAATGAGACAGGGAAGGAGCGCGGTGAGAGAGGAAGAACCGGGATGGGAGAGGGGAGCGATGGAGGGGCGGAAGGAGGAAAGGAGTGATGGAGAGAGGGGTGGATAGAGAGCAGAACAACCACAACCACCCTCATAATTACGAAGCGCCCCGACAAGAAAGGCGTTTAGTAAACGCACCCAAGGAAAGAATCGAACAGGGCAGGGCAGTTTAGCAAACGCCCAAGGCAATTTAGAAAATGCTAATTATGGGGGTCGGGTGGTTTTTCGTCCCTTGAAGGGAGAATGGAACATCGAGGAACGCGGAAAAGATATGTGGCAGGAGCGAGGGAGGAGTGAGGGAGCTTGAAGGAGGGAATGCGGAGGAGGGACGGAGGCGGGCGGCGGGAGGGAGGAGGGGAGGCGAGGAGGAGGAGGAGGAGGAGGAGGAGGAGGAGGAGGAGGAGGAGCTCCGTCGTCTTCTCGAGCCAGCGAAAGCATGCCAATGCCAGATATCGCGGGGCCCTCGCCGACGCCCCCCCGAAAGGCGCCGAGGCGCGGGCAGGTACACGTCCGTGAGCTCCCCGAACTGCGAGAAGTAGGCCCGGAGGTCCTCGGGGGGGACGCCGGCACCGGAGGTGACTACCTGCCAGACAACTCCAATCCAGCCCGAGGACCCGCATTTCGGGCTGCGGGGGGTAGGAAGGCACCAACTATACACCAACACCGATCCTGGCCAGGATCACCCTGGGCCCAGGATCGGTGTATACGCCCTCCTGCCTTGCGCAAGAAGGCATATACACCGATCCTGGGCCCAGGGTGATCCTGGGCCAGGATCGGTGTTGGTGTATAGTTGGTGCCCTCCGAGGGGGGTGCGGGCTCCATATGAGTTTGTTGGATGTTCCCCGACCACCTCCTCCCCCCCCCCACTGGAAATGGAGGGCAAGTCGGTGCCATCGGGTTGGGTTGGGGTAGTTCGGTGGGCGGGCGGGGGCGGGGTGCCTCATTGTTGCCAAGGCGGTGCCCTCTGGGTCGCAATCGGCCGTTCGCGCTCGGCGCTCGCTGGCGGCTCGCATTCGGTGCTCTGTGGCACCTGCTCGGACCATGGGGGTTCTTACTTGTGCGGCCGTAGGCGCTCTGGCGCCTCATGGCTGATGTCTTGTGCGCCGGTGCCCCATGGTTGATACACTCTGGGTGGTACACTTCGGTTGGTGGCCTGAAAAAGTACGGGACTCGCACGGAGCGGAACTCGCACGGACGGAACTCGCACGGGGCGGAACTCGCACGGAGCGGAACTCACACGGGACGAAACTCGCACGGACGGAATTCGCCCGCGCGGAACTTGCACATACGGAGCTCCCACGAAAGGAACCTGCACGTACGGAGCTCGCACGAGCGGAACTCCCACGAACTGGAACGCACACGGGCGACCGCGCCCAACGAACCCAGCGTGGCGGAACTCGCATGCGAGTTCCGTGTGTGCGAGTTCCACGTGTGCGCGTGCGATCTCCGACTCGTGCGAAATCCGTCCGTGCGAAGTCTGCTCCGTCCGTGCGAGTTCCGTCGGTGCGAATTTCGCTGCGCGAGCTCCGCTTCGCGCGAATTCCGCGCGTGCGAGTCTTCCTCTTCTCGTCATCGTCCTCGTCCTCTTACTCGTATTCGTCCTCCTCCTCCTCCGCCTCCTCCTCCTCATCATCCGCCTATTCCTCCTCCTCCCTCGTCACTCCTCCCTCCTCCTCCTCCAACCTCTTCGTCCTCGTTCTCCTCCATTTCCTCCTCGTACCTACGTGGGTGAGTGCGTGTCAGTTCCAACCTCCTCGTCCTCCTCCATTTCCTCCTCGTTTCCTCCAGCTCCTCCTCGTCATCCTCAATTTCCTCCAAGGGGCTAGGGGTAGGGGACTAGAGCGGGGTTCTGGCTCGAGCTTGGGCAACAAGAACAATAATAAGACTTGGCATAAATGCAAGACACATACTGGGCGCGAAAAACGAAACACGAAAACGAAAAACGAAACGTACAGATGGGAGATATCGTTGGGTAGGACAGAGGCCCAGGGCTGCGGCGAGGGGTGGGGGGGGGGCTGGAGGCGGGAAGTGGGGGGCTAGGGACTACGGCTAAACAGCGGGCGCTCGCGCGTCGGCGCGATGCACGCTTCACCAATAGACGGAGGGGAGGGGGAGGGGGAGGGGGAGGAGGAGGGGCAGGAAGGAGAGCCTCACACGCAGCCCCACTGCGGCGCCCTATGGTGCCACAGGTCGCAGGCGAGACGCCCCTCGTGCCTCCGCCCTGGAGCCGCGGCCCAATATCCACCCAAGGCGACACACTCGCCAAGGCTGCGCGCCTTCCGGCCGCGCGGTCTATGCGGCAGGAATCTGGTTCTCAAGGTTGGCCCCTGAAGACGGGTCGCTCTATTACTCCTCCTCCTCCTCCTCCTCCTCCTCCTCCTCCTCATTATCCTCATTATCCTTTATCCTCATTATCCTCCTCCACCTCCTCCTCCTCCTTCTCATTATCCTCCTCCTCCTCCTCGTCGTCGTCGTCGTCACCACCACCACCACCATCATCATCAGCATCCTCTTTCTCCTCCTCCTCCTCCTCACCATTACCACCACCACCACCACAACCATCATCATGATGATCAGCATCATCATCATCATCATCATCATCATCATCATCATCATCATCATCATCATCATCATCATCAGCAGTATCATCATCATCATCATCATCATCATCATCATCATCATCATCAGCATCCTCCTCCTCCTCATCATCAACGTCATCATCACATCCTCCTGCTGCTCCAATGCATCCCCCTCCTCCTCATCCTCATCGTCATCCTCATCTTCATCCTCATCCTCACCATCATCACCATCATCATCAGACAATACTCATCATCATCATCATCATCATCATCATCATCATAATCATGACCATCATCATCAGCAGCAGCATCATCACAACCATCATCACCATCATCACCATCACCATCATCATCACCCGCATCATCCTCATCATTCTTCTCATCATCATCAGCATCATCATTATCATCGTCATCGTCATCGTCATCGTCATCGTCATCCTCATCTTCCTCCTCCTCCTCTTCGTCGTCGTCATCACCACCGCCATCCTCATTACCACCACCACCATCATCATCATTATCATCATCAGCACCAGCAGCATGAGTAGCAGCAGCATCCTCATCCTCATCCTCATCACCAACATCATCATCACATCCTCCTCCTCCTCCTCCTCCGCCTCCTCCTCCTCATCATCATCAGCAGCATCATCATCACCATCACCATCACCATCATCATCATTCGAATCCTCATCCGCATCCTCATCCTCATCATCAGCATCATCAGCATCAGCATCAGCATCATCAGCATCATCAGCATCATCATCATCATCAGCATCGTCATCGTCATCAGCATCATCAGCATCATCCTCATCCTCATCCTCATCCTCATCAGCATCATCATCATTATCATCATCACCACAATCACCACCACCACCATCATCATCACCATCACCATCACCATCACCATCATCGTTATCAGCAGCATCAGCATCAGCATCATCAGAATCTCCTCCCCCACCACCTCCTCGGACTCGCGTTCCTCATGATCGTCCTCTTCCACCTCCTCGGTTTCTTCCTACGGATGCCCAATATGTAATAGTCTGTAATTCGTCAGGACATCAAATCCATCCTGATGTGATCTGTCAGATACGGGTGCATCCGTCTGGAATTCCAACCCCGTACAGTTCGAAAGGAAGCATGGGTGACCGACCTTCTCGTTGCACGCTGTGAAACATGCAAAGCGGCTATCCTAGCACTCTAGCGCAACCACCATGGACGCAGATGGCAAAGAATGCCTCGTGAATCCAGACTTCGAAGCGCGAACCGAAGCGCGAACGTGCCTTAGGTCGTCGCGCCCCTGCGTGTGACCAAGAAGGTATTAGTAGTCCTCTCGGACATAATTCCCGCCCTGCCCGCTGCCCCCCCTCGTACAGGGTCCTCCTTGCTGACAGACTGGGGCACCCTCGAGACGAACAGCCTGCGCGGAGAGCCAGGGGAGGAGGAGGAGGAGGAGGAGGAGGAGGAGGAAGAGGAGGAGGGAGGGGAGGAAGGGAGAGGGAGAGGGAAGCGGAAGGCAGGAGGGAGGGAGGGCGGGATGTGGAGGTCAGATGGAGCCTCATCTTCATCCCCTCCTCATCCTCCTCATCCTCCTCATCTTCTCCTCGCCTCATCCTCCTCATCCTCCTCATCCTCATCCTCCTCATCCTCCTCATCTTCTCCTCATCTTCTCCTCATC